GACTCAGTCTCAAAAAAAAAAAAAAAAAAAAAAAAAAAAAAAATTTAAGTGGTGGGAAAGAAACCAAAAACTAAATAAATGAATAAATAAATACAAAAGGTGGAGGCACTGGGTGGGGTTCAAGCCCAGGCTGATCTGACTCACAACCTCACTGAAGGCTGTTTCCAAGGAGGGAGGCATGCTCTCTCCAGGCCTGGCTCCGCCCCCATTAGACCCGAAGGGGCCAGAGGCTCTCCCTACCCCCACCCCCAGCTGGCCCAGGGCCTACCTCGAAGAGCCAAATGAGGAGAGTGACGACCCCCATGGAGTTCATGAGGCTGCTGTAGTAGCTGAGCAGGGCAGCCCTGCAGCCACGCACCCACAGGTTGAGCTCCTCCGTCTGGTGGTCGTAACTGTAGTGTGCTGAGTTGTTGGTGATCTGATACTGGATGCAGGGCCGTGGCGAGCTAGGATTGCAGCAGCTGAAGGGGACGCCGTCTACCAGGTACCGCCCATCCACGTTGCTCTTGATTCGACTGGAAGGGAAAGAGACAACTGGAGATGGGCTTCCTGGGCTTCTCACCAGGGGCCACTTCCTCCCATCCCCTGCCTCTGGAAGCCTGGAATAGTCATTCACTCACACGCTTGGTATATATTTGCTATGCACCTGCTACATGCCAGCCACTGTTCTAGGCACTGAAGACAAAGCAATGAATAAATGCCCCTGCCTTCCTCGACCTTATGGTCTAGAGGGTTGAGGCAGATGGTAATCCAAGACTCGAGTCAATAGGGAATACAGAAATTCACCCAACCACTCTGTGCTGCCAGGTCCTTTCCTGGGGCCATGCCTGGAGGGGAGGAGCAGCAGCAGGACAGGAGCTGTTGATGGACAAGCATCTGGCTGCCACTGGTGACGCCCCAGCTCCCTCACCAACCTCATCTCCCCCTTACAGGTCACTGGCCCTTTCCAGCCAGGTGTTTCCAGAAGGCCTGCTCAGGCCCAGGGCCTGTGCAAAGGCAGGGGATGGAGACCCGAGGCAGGCACAGTCCTTGCCCTCAGAGGACTCCACCCCCAGCCAGGGGGGAGCTCCTGACTCACCTAAGGGACACAACTGCAAGCAGGTTCTCCAGGCTGATGGGCGGGGCTCCCAGCATATCTTCTGCACTTCTATATTTTTTTGTATATTTATTTAGAGCTTACTATACATTCACACAGGTTCAGAATTCAAAAGGGATCTCTACAGTGAAAAGTCTCCCCTTCCCCTCAGACAGGCTGGGTATGTTCTACCTGACCTGGGTGTGATTACCCAGGTGTTTCATGTGTCAAAACTCACTGAGCTGCACACTTGGGATTCGTGCATTTGGCTGGGCATGGTGGCTCAAGTCTGTAATCCCAGCACTTTGTGAGGCCAAGGCAGGAGGATCGCTGGAGCCCAGGAGTTCAAGGCAGCAGTGAGCTATGATCACACCACTGCACTCAGCCTGGGCAACAGAACAAGACTGTCTCTTAAAAAAAAAAAAAAAAAAGATTTGTGCACTTGACTGTGTGCTTGTCATCTAAATAAAAAGTTGTGAGCAGGCGCGGTGGCTCACGCCTGTAATCCCAGCACTTTGGGAGGCGGAGGTGGGCAGATCACGAGACCAAGAGATCGAGATCAAGAGACTGAGACTGTCTCTCGGTCAAGAGATCGAGACCATCCTGGTCAATATGGTGAAACCCCGTCTCTACTAAAAATACAAAAATTAGTTGGGCGTGGTGGCATGTGCCTGTAGTCCCAGCTACTCAGGAGGCTGAGGCAGGAGAATCACTTGAACCCGGGAGGCAGAGGTTGCAGTGAGCCGAGATCGCACCACTGCACTCCAGCTGGGGCGACAGAGTGAGACCCCGTCTCAAAAAAAAAAAAAAAAAAAGAAAAAGTTGCACGTAGGCCAGGTGCAGTAGCTCACACCTGTAATCTCAGCACTTTGGGAGGCCCAGGTGATTAGATGACCTGAGGTCAGGAGTTCGAGACCAGCCTGGGCAACATGGTGAAACCTCATTTCTACAATTAATAAAAATACAAAAAAATTAGCCAGGTGTTTTGGTGCATGCCTGTAGTCCCAGCTACTCGGGAGGCTGAGGCACAAGAATCACTTGAGCCCGAGATGCAGAGGTTGCAGTGAGCCAAGATCACACCACTGTAGTCCAGCCTGGGCGATAGAGTGAGACTCTGTCTCAAAAAAAAAAAAAAAAAAGAAAAGAAAAGAAAAAAAAGTTGCAGGTGAACAATGTGTTACATAATAGACTTTTAGAACATAATAGAGAGCATAATTGTTTCCAATAGAGATTATTTTAAACAATGTTCATTGAAATGGTCACGAATCTCTTAAAAGATGTCCATGTTTCGCTTCTAAATAAAATCTCTTTAATACAAAATTCCTCCCACTCCTCATCTCTCAGCCTCCAGGTCCTGACCACTGTGGCCAGTTCCACCAGAGAGAGGCTTCATGCATGGACAAGCAAACATGTTTTCATTTTTCCTGTTCTTTTTTTATTACTGCAAATGAGAACATTATATACATACTGTCTTGAACCTTTCTTTTTTCCCTTAGCAATATCTTGGAGATCTTTTTTTTTTTTTTTTTTGGCAGGGGTGGGAGATGAAGTCTCACTCTGTCACCCAGGCTGGAGTGCAGTGGTGCACCACATCCAGCTAACTTTTGTATTTTCAGTAGAGACGGGGTTTTGTCATGTTGGCCAGGCTGATCTGGAACTCCTGACCTCAAGTAATCCGCCTGCCTCAGCCTCCCAAAGTGCTGGGATTACAGGTGTGAGCCACCGCGCCCAGCTGAGATATTTTCATATCTGTCAATGGAGTGTCCTGGATTTTTTTTTTCTTTTTTTTTAAGAGCTGCATGGTATTCCCATTGTGTGGATGGCACATGGGTCCTAGCCAGTTCCATACTGATGGAAGTTTCGGTTTTCCCAGTCTCTCATTAATACAAACATGGAAATCAGTCATTTTGCATATTGTGACTATACGGAGTAGGTAAATTCCTTGAAGATGGATCCTGGCATCAAAGGGTGATCTTGCCAGATACCTGCCATATTTCTCCTCTGGTCTGTCCTGCGGGGGGCTGAGTGGGGAGGGGGCGGTTCACAAACCCCAACCAGCCATGCTCAGGAGAACCCGTCCTCCACAGCCGCATCCACACAGGTCAGACTTTTGATCTTTGCTCACCTGATCTTTGGAAAACAGTATCTCGGGGTTGTTTTCATTTCCATTTTTCTCATTACGAGTGAAGCTGAGCATCTTCTGGTGTGCTCAACGACCACGGGCGTTCCATTTCCATGAAGCGTGTTGATTTCCGTCTATTATGATTAAGACTTTCTAGGAGGGCTGCATGAGGTGGCCTGGGTCATGGTAAACATGTTTCCACGCGCCCTGTAATCCCTGCCCTCTACTTCATGGGCAGAACACACTGCCCAGAGACCAGATGGCCCTGGGTGGCATGGACAGCACAGGTCGGTGATAAGAGCAGGACAGCCTGGGTTTACTCCTGGCTTGCCCACATGCCAGCTCCATCCCTCTGGACAAGTTCCTTAACCTCTCCCTGCCTCTCCTTTCCTTATATTTAAAACAAAGTTGACACGAGGATTGCACGAAGTGATACATGTAAGAGTGCTTGATGAGTGCTGGTATAATACATAGTAGCCATGCACTGTGAGCAAAACCACCTCACCGGGCAGCTGGCCAAGCAAGAGTTGCCAGGGGCGGTGCTCTGAGCACCTGGGAGCTGACATCAGGTTGTAAGAACAGAGCCCGCCACGCTATATCATATCACGGGAGAGCCCTCACTGGGGAGTTGGCAGTGCAGGTTAGGTTCTACCAGCCATGGTGAAGAAGCTGTCAGCTCCTTGAGGGCAGGATCGTGCGGGGTACCCTCCGTAGTGGTCCCAACACGGAGCACCTGCCGGCTGGCACTGCCTGCCCACCGCTCAAAGCCCCACTCCAGCCATGTGCGTGGGGAAGGCAGAAACTGTGTCTTGCTCAGCTGTACCTCTGCAGCCCCTCGCTGGGGGGCACTGGGCTGTGGGTGACGGAATTGGGGCAGGGGTGGGAAGACAAGCTGGAGCAGTGTGGGAAGGGCCTTTGGCTTGGGCCTCCGGCTCCCCTGAGGGCTCCCTGAGGACGGGCTGTGTCTCCCCTCAGACTGGGGACCCCTGAAGATAGGGCTGCATGTCCCCTCAGACTGGGGCTTCCTGAAGACATGGCTGCGTCTCCCTCACACTGGGAACTTCCCAGGGGCAACACGGGTCAGCCTGGGGGAAAAGGCCGAGCTTGGTGAACGCTGGGACTTGCCTGGGTCACCAGCTTGGGAACCCTTGGGGTCTCTCACTTCTAGAGCTATCCCTCCCCCACTCCAAACATCGTCTTGTTTACTCAGTGCTTGCCCTCATTCCAACCACAGATTAAGGCTCCTCTCACCCTCTTAAGACAAAGCCAGGCAGAGGAGAGCGCCTTAGTGGTGAGCCGGCTATTTATATCACCGCGTGTTTCCCAGGCTATGAATTTCACTCTGCGGTGGGGGAGGAGTCACTAGGGTTTGAAAGGGTCTTGAATAAAATAAGGCCTATGTTCTAGGCCACTCTCCCATAAGTAAGGCACATAGAGCCTGGGAAAATGATCATGCCTGAGTTTTTCTGGAAAAACCAACATAATTTAGTAAGTGAATCAAATCAGTAAGGCCAGTCATAGGGCAATGGGCAAGGGTATACCTGACAGGGGGTCACCCCAAGCAGAACGCTGCCGAGGGACACCTGTGAGACCTTGAGAACTGGCCTAACCTCTCTGAGACTGAGTTTTCTCATCTAAGAAATGAGATTTTAAACACTTGATGGGATGGTGGACATTAAATGGGACCACATGCCTAGAGCATTGGGTACACACTATGTGTTTAGTATGCTTTGAAGATGGCTTTTTTGGGTAGTGCTGTGGTTTGAATGTGTCCCCCAAAGTTCCTGTGTTGGAAACGTGAGGCCCAGCATGACAGTGGCGAGAGATGGGACCTTTGAGAGGTGACTGGATTAAGAGGGCTCTGTCCTCATGAGCAGATTAATGCCATTATCACAGGAGTGGGTTCCTGAGGAAAAGGATGAATTCGGGCCCCTCAGCAGATGCGGCCCCACCACCTTGGACTTCCCAGTCTCCAGAACAGTAAGAAATAAATCTCGCTTTTTATCAGCTTTCCGGACTCAAGTATTCTGTTACAGCAGCTCCCAGTGAACTAAGACAGTAAGTCACTGGGCATGAGGTAGTACAGACAGTGAGGGGTGACATGAGGAGAAGACACAGCCCCGTCCTCAGACAGCCCCAGTCTGAGGGAGACACAGTCCTGTCTTCAGAGACCCCCAGTCTGAGGGAGACACAGCCCCGTCCTCAGGGAGCCCCAGTTTGAGGGGAGACACAGCCCTGTCTTCAGGGAACCCCAGTTTGAGGGAAACGCAGCCTCATCCTCAGGGAGCCCCGGTCTGAGGGAGACACAGCCCCATCCT